TAATATCATCAGCAAAAACCAACGATTGTCTGCTCCTCACTTTCATACTATCTAGAGTATTTTTTGGCTACATAGATTACGCTGGACTTGAGATCAGAAATGGCGCGCTGCTTGGACCATATACATTATATTAGGGAGGCCAGAAACCCTTAGGCAAATGTTCATTAATAACTAAAAATATCACTAACAAAAAAAAAAATTTTAAATAAATAATAATAAGATGTGGTATGGACGTTTCATTGAAATGTCTGGCTTCTATGAACTCTTTGACCTCAAATATGACAGACTAAGGAAAAAATGTAGTCCTTCTCGAAAGGACACCATCGAAGTAAACATACTCAGTAGCGTGTCATAAAGCCGTATAGTTTCATTGTAAATTTCATGCAGCCGAAATTCAACCGAATTATTGCTGGATGTGTATTTTCCTTTTATAGGCTGATGGTAGTTATCAGATGGTTCAAAGTCCAAGCTAAATGGTGAGTGCATCAAAACTTCCTAAACAAGCTCCGTAAATTTCAGCCTGGCCATCAAGGATATACACACGTATGGCGTGGTGTTTTTTTTCATTTCATTTCATTTTGTAGAGGGTCACGACCTTTGCGCATTCCTTCTTTCATTTTACACTCTCGTATTGAATTCAGTTCTCATCGTCCGTGTTGAGTCGTTTCTACGCTACGGTTTCAACGCGTTTCGGTAGTATTTCACGGATGTTATTTAGATTAATCACAGCTTCTTTAAGTGCGTGATATCTAATGCCTCCACTAACCCCTCACAACTTGCATGACGACCGACCAGAACGCGATGCGTCTTTGATATAAAAATTACCGGTAAGGAATCAAGCAAACCACTACTGGGTTCAGCGTTCATTTAAAGTGTTCTCATCAGAAATCAAACACAGTGTTCGGCATGCTTTTGCAACTATTTTATCTTTTTTTTTATTAGTGAAAAAGCTTTGTTTTGTCAGATATTTTGAAATATCAGCTGCGAACAGCGAATACTTTTTATATTATATATGTATGTAGGCCGTACTTATTAGAAGTTGGTTTGGAAGAAGAAGTTGGCGTTTGAGAAATGTAGAAATCCTAGATTTTTAAGTGTAAATAAAATTGCAAAAAGTGGCGTGATAATAAGTCCGAATAAGTCGTCTTCACGTTTTCTTCATTATTCACTTATTTAGAGGACTTATGGACAATGTATGATTCAATAAATAAAAATCAGTTCAAAGAGGCCGATGTGTCTACTAAATGAGAGGTACATATATACATGCGAGTATATCGCAAATTTTCTGCTTAAGTGTAATTATAAATATTATACTAAATCAGAAGTGGACATGTCTGTAACTTTAATAAATTGTTTCATCATACTCGTGCCTGAGAACTACTTACTCGTATGCTCATACTTAAGTATATATGTACATGCATTATTATTAAAAAAAAAATTTCAATTAACTCCTTTACTAGACACTTGAGACAAAACCTACCGAACGCTTATCATTTTAAAGGCAAACATGCCGTCGAGCTATTCCTCAAAAGGATTAAGGCAATTCTCCTATCTACCAGACTCTTTTGTAATTGAAAAAATATTCCACACAACAAGGGATTAGGCAAGTTGGTTGCATATACGTCACAAGATCGAATGTTTTTGTTAATATATATGGACATATGTATGTACGTATGTATATGATATTTTAATATGCATATAAATATAAAAAAATTAGTCGAGAGCTTTATTTGAAGATACTCTATTATATACAAATAAATATATACACTTTAAGACAATTCAACTTTTATTAATAACTTAAGAGCTCACTGCTTTGCTAAAAATAATAAAATTACACAACAATTGCACGTGGACGTTCCCTCTACTATAATATTTCGCATAAAACTGTGAGCAAAATGTAAGGTGAATTTGTTTCGATTCGACTTCGTCGCCTTCCCTTGCCAATGCTAAGCAGTTATGCCACCCTTTTTTTGAATTATCGAAGCATGTCAAATAGTTACGGTCTGGTATGGCCTTCAGAGGGCGCGACGATTCACGTTTAATCTCCTCAATCGACACAAAACGGTGGCCTTGAAGTGGTCTCTTGAGTTTTTGGAAGAGCCAGAAGTCACATGGTGCTAAGTCCGGCGAAAACGGTGATTGGAGAGCGATATTGGTGAAATTTTTATCGAAATGGTCTCGATGAATTAGTGCTGTACGCGACGGTGCATTATCGTCATGTAGAAACCACGAAGGCACTTTTAGTCGGTTAGTGAGCACGAGCGTAACTAAAATACCAATAATGACTTTGACATGAGATTTGGCGTAGATGTCAATAACAGTGCTACCAACATTAAAAACAAAGAATTAACCCGAAATATTAAGAGCGCGAAACTCAAATTAAAAATTCACCTTACTTTTCGCTCGATCTCGAGAAATGAAATGGAGCTAAGCATTTTCATAATCGAATTTTCAGCTAAGCTCCTCGTCTAAATGAATAATATATACCAGTAGAAAATGGCAAGGAAGAAGCAGAGTATACTGGGTATAATTTTTTAATGCCTATCCAAGTTCAAACTTAAAAAAAAAAGTCGTCCGATAAGAGAAAAATACTTGTTCTAAACTAGAATCCTTCCGGTATGCACTTTTGCACTAATTAATCCATCTTCTATCTACTTCCCATGTAAGCAACTAGTAATTTTTAACACGGCGATGTTCCAAGAACTGTTAAATGTACGTGGAATTTTCACTTCACTCAAATTAAAAAAAATTAAAATAAAAATAAAAATTAGAGTTCCGAACCGTGAACTCCACGTTCTGCAAGCAATATCCATTAACCTCTCGACTATCGTGACGATAAATCAAACTGTTTTTTAGACTGGTATGTTCTCATCTTCAAAATACTGGTTTTTAACTAGTACTTTTGCATACTAATTTGCCTTCTCACTGCAAGGAAGTTTAATAAATAGTAGCAAGTATGAGCCACTAGTGGTACTCCAGGGTGTTTCGCTACACAGAATCATATAATATATTAAAGAATTGAGAATACCTACAAATTATATAGATGTTTTTTTGATTATTTTTTAGACCATATTTTATTGGTATTTCTTGCGTCTATTATTCGGTCGACCCAAACGCCCGGAAGAGTTGGTAATTCTAGAAACAATAGACCGGTTTTGTAGCGTGCTTATTCTAGTGCATAATGAGCGCATTCTCAGAGACGCCGTATAAAGCTATTGCTGCTGAGGAGCAGGGTATCGAAGAAGACCCGAATAAGTCCATTAGTCAACGCGCGCAACAATTATACCAGTGTCCATTCACTTTATGAAACATTTTGTGGAAGTATTATATTTCGATTTGCGGGTTAAGAAAATCTGATCATTACGCGCGTCGCACATTCGGAAAATGAGCCCAAATGACCACCGATTTCCGATTTCCACAAGAAAATTACGTTCAACGATGAAGATCAGTTTTGTTTGAATACCAACCAACCATTGTTGAGTCATCGTTAAATCCTCAAAAAGTCACTGTTTGGTGTGCTGGGTGTGGTGAGGAGAGGGTGTCATTGATTCAAATTTCTTCAAAAATTTAGCCGACTATAATGCTATAGTCAAAGGGCAACGCTATGGAGCTATAATTAAAAAACTTTTCATGCTGGAATTGGAGGATTTTGATACGGAAGCCAACAAGAAGCAAACTTTTGGTAAGCTCATGGACTCGCCTAAGGTGTGGTCTTCAAAATTGTGCGATTTAACATCCCTGGATTACTTTTCGTGAGTTTATGCAAAGTCGCAAAGTCCGAGACGATTTAAGAGAACGTTGTGTCCTAAAAATAACCGAACTTTATATTTAAATCATACAACATACAGCGCCATCTATTGAAAATTTGCAACATTAATAAGATACATTCATCCTCTTTCAAACGCGCCTAACATCTTGTATCATAAGTCGGATGACAGATGTAAAAGTGACAGCCATTTCAATAAAACCAAAAGATCAAAAATGAAATGGTTCAAAAATAAAATGGAACAAAGAGCAAATAAAAAATTTTGTGTCAAACTTGAAAAAAATTAATAAAAAAAGTTTATTGTGATGATTGTATGAGTCGTACGCAAGTTTATACGTGGTTTACACGATTTAAAAATGGTCTTGAGGATTTAAATGACGACCCTAGAGCAGTACGTCCGGCAACTAGTAATCGTGCTGAACTGGTGGAAAAAGTCCGTGAAATCATTGGTATCGATGCAAATTTTACTACGAGAATGTTGGCTGAGGAATTGAATACGAGTAAAAACACTAATTGGAGAATTTTAACTGAAGATTTGGGGAAAAAAAAGGTCTGTGCGCGATTCGTTCCACATGAATTAAATGATGACCAAAAAATCGCTCGAATTTTTAATGAAAAAAGGGATTTCTCTTGGCGACCATCCTCCGTATTCGCCTGATCTATCACCATGTGACTATTTTTTTTATTTCCAAACCTGAAAACCAAGATGAAGGGAGCATTTTATGATGATATCCCAGCCATTCAAGCAGCCGTAACCGAGGTACTGAAGAACATTTCTATAAATAACATAAAAAAATCTATGCATGCGCTGGTTGATCGTTCCAAACGTTGTGTTGAGTCAAATGGAACCTATTTTGAATAAATAATAACTTTCGAAGATAATATAATGTGTATTTTATTTTATATACAAAAAGTTCGGTTATTTTTGGGACACATCGTGTTGTTTTGGAAGTTATACCCTTCATTTTCTCGACCTTGCCGGGTAGGCTTTCGAAGAACCCATCTATGAGAGTATGCCTACCTCATGCACAGATAACATCCTTCAAGTAGTAGGTCTCTACCTTAGGAACAACAAATTTCATATAAAGGGTATTCTAATAAGGCAGATGTCTAAAAAGCACTCCGTACCAGACACAGGTAATCCAGTTACAAAGCGTCACAATACATTTCAAAATAATAAGATCGACTTTTTAATGTTTTTTTTTATAATCTATTTGAGAATATTTGTTTACAAGTTTTTTTATCATTTCTTAGTGGAAAAAATAAAATTAAAGCTTTTCATTATCACAAAAATCGCTTAGCAACTAGGAAATCAAAATAAAAAATAAACGAAGTAATAAATGACAATAAAAATGAGGAATATAAAACTCATAAGTAAGTCAATAAAAAACTTAAGCCTTCAACGTGGATGAGCACTTGACGTTTTGTTTCAGAATCTTAAATACTAAATTGGAAGCACTTCGATTCAACTATCACGTCCACAATGCATACATATAATATATTAACTAGTTCATTACGAGTACTTCAGCCGCTACGAATGAGTATCACAAATATCTAAAGCTCCAGTCCCAAATGATATCGTACAGAGCAACAACACTTCAGTTGCTAATCCGCACAATCAAGCCTCAAGCTTGTGCCCAACGATCTTGAACGTGATGATATGGATACTGCATGTGCGGATATTGTGAGTTGCTGTAACAGTAACTGGGCTGCAGTAGATCCTCATCGGCGGCGACGGGCGCAAAACTGCTCAACACCGGTTGCAAATTGGTGGTCCAAAAGAAGGTACCAGCTTCGGTGCGTGCAAAACGTACGGGCACATATATATCATGCTCCTCCGCCTCCTCCTCATCTTCACGCGCCAATTCTGCTATCTTCTCGTTGGCTGAGTTATCTTCGATTTCCTCATAGAAATGTTGTTCTTCCATTTGGGCATTGCGCAAATTTTCAAGTGACTCCAATGACTCCAGTGAATTGCATAAACGTTGATTTTGTTGCTGCAAACGTTGTTGTTGGCGGCGTTGTAACTTGTTGGTTTGCTGCTGTTGTTGCTTGTTGCGGAAGAGTGTCTGCAAAACACGTTTAATGCTGTAGCTCGACTTCAATTTGGAACCCTGTATTTGTGTGTTCGCGTTGGCGTTGGTAGACGCTGCTAATTGTTGCTGTTGTTGACACATATTCGTCGAAATATTCTCGGTTTTTCTGCTAAAATTCTTCAATGAGCTATTCGCTTGGTGCGTTCCGTTGCGTTGCGTTGCGTGTGGCACGTTTGACGTACAAATTTAGAATGATTTCAACTTCGCATGCAGCGCTCTTTTATAGCTCCGCGGCTGTGGCACACTCTCCACGCAAAAACAAGAAAAATGTTTGTACATTTCCTACAGGAAAAAGGGAGTGTGTACAATCGAAGAAACAGCAATAAGAACCAACAAAAACTACTTCTACGTACTGGAAGAGCGTGAGTAATGCGAGTAGAGGCGCAGACACACTATGCCACATGAGCATCATTTACTTACATGAATATGTACATATGTGTGTATGTAACTGCTCAGCTCAATTCCAACAGTGAGCATGCGTGCCTGTACATTACGGATATGCACTTCGCTTGACACACATCGCACAAGCGAGCACTTGCGTTGTTATCTACCCTCCATGAAGATTGCTGTTGCTGGTGGTGGTGGTGGTGAGTGCCAGCTCAGTGCGTTGGACTCGCGCTCCGCTCGAGCTTGTGTAAAGGAAATGTCAAGTAAGAGGGTCACTGCGCACTGAAACTCAAATTCCGATAAGAATTGCCGAGGCGGCGGCGGCTACTCAGCAAGTGGAAGCACAGTGGTTCACAGCTGTAATGTTTGAAGTTGTATAATTTTTGGTGCGCGAATCTGCGAGTCTGCGTGTTTGTGAAATCCTTATAGAATTAGCAGTCATTTTATAGTTGACTATATAATTGGTTTCTTTTTTCTTGAAGTGCTTTTATGCCAATTGGGAATTTCAAGCGTAACCTATCTTCTCTTCTTTTTAATAGTTCGCTCACAACTTCTTGGACTTACTTATACGATATGTACAATTTGCGCTTTGTAACCAACGAATCGAGTTTTTGGCTGAGCTTCTCCCCCAATTTGTGGTTTTACATCTTGAAGATTTTCCAACAAATGAAGGAACCTACAGTTTATACTAAGCCGCCTCCAAACAGCTGATGGATTTTTTATGAGAAGCCATTACTTCAGGTCACAAATACACTCGGCGGGGTTGACATTCTCTGCCAAGGGGCAATCGATATTAGAAAATTTAATTTAATTTTTTATTTAAATTATTTTTCTATAACCGTTTGGATGTTGGTACGACACCAAGATTCGAGCCTGGCCTTCCTAGTACGCAACGCTAATCACTCGGCTACCACGGCCTCATACGATACTCTCAATATTAATACTTCTACTTCGTAAGAGAATAACTAAGTTAACAATAGTACTTCTCGCCTCTCACTGAGATTAGTCGTTATAATAATAATTATAATTGAGCATAGTTTTGAAGAAGAATAGACTGGGTATTTTCTAATGATACCCTTCATGAATAATAAATTAAGAATTAAAGTACGCTTTCGAAGAAGAAAGATCAAACTCTACAAGTCACTCATTCATCCTCTTTCCTAGTTTTTCTCTCAGATATTTTGAGCCAGCGTTAGGATTTTTTTAGAAAAAGGTTTTGTGTAAGATTTATAGAGCTCTGAATGGTAGCGGCGCCGAATGTGCGAGATATACGTCAACGTCATTGACATAGTTACATAGTTTGTTATTGTGGCTGCCTGTTAGAGTATCCGTTGTCAGCCGTAGTTAGACCTGCTTGCTCTTTTATTGTGCCAATGTCAAGCTCCTTTCGAAATGCGCAATTATTTACTTTGTTTTGTGAACACACAAGATTGCTGACACTGGCTAAAGCTAAACCTTTAAAATAGTTCCAAGAACTGGATAATGCTGTACCGGCTCCTCCTCACCTACAAATGCTCCTGCAGCGATGTTAGAAGTGGTTAGAGAAGTAGCAGGTCCTCCTACCGTAAATAGCTATCGAGGATTGTCTGGAAATAATGTAATGTAATGCCTTTGTGCTCTTCTCTACAATCTGGTGAAAGCCCGTCTTATCAGCAATTTTGCAGAATTCGCTTTGGTAAGGATATTAATTAGGACAGCGAGCTTATATCGAGTCAGCTCCTCGGGCATAAAGTTTACTGGAATCTCCCTGTATCCGGGTACCGTAATATAATGATTGTTTGGCGCTTAAAATATACTATTTTGTAGGTGGCGTTATACGTAAGTAAAGACGCAGCGACTTCTGTTATCCCAGTTATTTCACTAACAAATTTCTGTTCGAGGCGAGTTAAGATGGGAAGGCGAGCACCACTTGGCTGTGCGTATGTTTTAGGACCTACCACAAAAAAAGTCTGCTTTAAAGGGAAACTACAAAAAGCCAAAACTTGGAGATCTCTCTTTTGATAGGGTCCTCTATGGCATTACCTCCGTCTTGGAATTAAGAAGAAAAGTAAAATTAATTTTGAATCATTCAACAGGTCAAAATAGTTTTTATGAATCTACAGCAGTTGAGAACAACTAAAAACAATTTGTTCTTTATATTTATATTCCAGCTCAACCGTCACAAGGCGATCCGCGCCCACTGTGCATGCGCAGGATCGTTTCAGTGCACACTCATAATGCTTTCCACTACCAATATGGAGTCGCTAATGATGCTTGCTGGTGGTGGTAGTGTTGGTGTTGGTGCTGTTTTTTATGACTGGTGTCGATTGATAGCTGATAGTTGTTATTGTTTTTCATATTACCGCCGAACGGTGTCGATGACTGTCAGTCAGTCTCTTTTTTGTTTTGCTCTGTTAACGGTGGTGTTATTACAATGTGCTCGCTCTCCGCTTACCTCTCTTGACTGCTGGCATATACGCGTGTATTGGTATGCATTGCACATACAATAAGGGTTGCATATACAAGTACAACAACAAATTCAGAGCACTTTGTGCTTATAATACGCCCTCGGTGCATACAAATCAAACTGGATTTGGTACCCCTTTTTTAAGCCACTGCTCCCTACTTGATCCGAGTGTGGGAAAATGTTTCGAAATTTTGATTCCAAATATCGAGACGGGTGGAAAAAAATTATACAAATAACAGCAAACGTGATAAGGCATAAGGAATAGGAAAGGGAATAAGGAAAAGGAAGGCTCAACAGCAACAAAAAAAAAAAAAAGAAATGAAAACAAAAACACCAGTTGTTGAGCGTTGCGGTGGTGGCAGAAGCAAGGTGAAGTGCTGATACATGAGTATGTAGGTTATACGTAAGCACGTGTGTGTGTGTGTGTTGGTGTTCGTGCAGGGGTTTCATATTTGAATTGCTTGTTTGTTGTATCGCTCCCGCTTGGAGTCCGTAGCAAAAAAATGGCAGGTGTTCATCATGAAATTTTCTCATGGCAAACTCAGGCGATAAGGAATATTTATATTCCTTAAGTATACATGTTGTTGTAGTTTATATTGTACCAATAAGTGTATACATTTTGTTTTCTCAAAAAAAAAAAAAAAAAAAAAAATGTTTTTTGGCTTCAAATTGCATTGTTTTTGTTGTTTTGGGAGTTCCTTTATGGTCATTCGATTACTTGAAAATTATTACTTTTTTCTATACAATTTGGCGTATGTTGTTTTTGTTGGGGTGCGGGACTCAATGTATCGGCTTGCAGGATTTGCGTGTCCATGTAGGCATTTCAATATTTTATTTCCGTGGGAAAGCGCATTCAGTTGGCATTCCCACGCATTTAAGGTGTTGTTTTTTTTCCTTTGAACTCTCTTCCTTTTATTGTCCTGCTGGTGTTTTTCTTATCTTATTGTTTTTGTTTATTCATTTATTATGATTACTACACTACAGTTCCCTATTTGCTCGCCTAAATTCGGTTGTTTCCATTAATCGTGTTGCTATTGGAGATGCTGACGGAGAAAGAGATGATGATGGAGGGTGGAGGGTGAAGAGGAGAGTAGGGGCAGTTGTTGTTTTTGTTATATATTTGCTTGCTACTTTATCATGTTGCCCTCCTTGCTTTTATTATTATGACAAAGGATGCGTGGCGCAAACGAATTGAGAGCGTAAGCAAATTATCCTTTAAGCGGCTCTCTGTGCAGTGTCGAGTCGAGTGATGAGGGTTTAATATTGGAGTATTTTGTTATTGTTATATATTTTTTCTTCAACTTCTTCTTTCGTTTAGCCTTTTGTGCTTGAGTTTGTGTTTCATTTTGGGGAAGGTGTTTTTGAAAAAATTTTCCCAGGCCTTGTTGGAAGGACCGCAAACTGCGCTGCATTGAGCCAAGCTGATGAGGCGTGTCTGACAGGTTGCACTGCTTCTTCTGCGTGTTTGTTGTTGTTCGGAGTGTGTCGTTCGCCACTCGTAAGCCAGACTTAAGGCTGTATTGCCTGCGCCACGCTGATTGTTAATTGCTAGACTGCTACTGTTGTTACTTGTGACTAGAGGAAAGAATAAACAAAACAAAAAAAAAATTAATCGAAATCGAAAAGTACGGTAGCATACATATGTACATATATTAGTGCGCCTTAGCGGTTTCACGACATTTTATTTTGCTTTTATCCTTTTTTTTATGAATTTGTACAAGTTTTATGTGCATTGTCACTTCTGCCTTGCCGTGTTGTTGCGCTATTTTATCAATGAAAATATTCGTTTAGATTTCTTCATTTAGTTCATACTTGGATATATGTACATATATATGCGTCACACACCTTTAAATATATTTTAAATTGTTCTTTCAGCACAAAAGTGTGTGCGTCCTTGCGCTGGTCTTTGTTGTGACTGAGACTTTACGCGTGCGCAGTGCGTGTATCGCAGGCGTGCTTGATCTGGCTACTTTTTAATTTCAAATCTTCATTTAGTCATTTGACTTTTAATCACATTAATTATGTCAGTGGCTAAAAAGTAATAAAGATGGAGATACAAAATTCTAGATCTTACATTAAAACGCATTGCTTTGAATAGATTTTTAAGCCGTGAAAAAAAAATCGTTCGCCTTAAACTGAGCTTTCTTTGAGCTCTTGGTTACCAATTGGAAACTTTAAGTGAAGCCAAAGTCTTCTCCATCTGGACTTTATTGATGTTTATGGTTTTTCAGAGCCACCACTAAGAGTTATAGACAATTTATTTAATGACTACAAATATTTCGTCCTGTCCTCCTTCATTACAAACCTCATTCTCTTCGCTTTCTTTTCCAATCTGAAAATACGCCTGGTCGTAAGTTGCTGTTATTACGTCTGTGAATAGTTGAACTTGTAGAACACTGTATCGTCGCTATTTAGCTCTGTGAGAAGTCGTACGATACAGAGAGAGCCTTGACGGAGTGGCAACTCCTTTCAGCTCTGCTGAGGACAGTTTTAAGATCGACAAAGCAATGGTGTGAGTCGATTCTTGTAGGCGAGTGGTATTAGCATTACTTACGGTCATTCGGAATGCTCGAGCTCAAATCCTGGTGTCGTACTAGCATCCAAAAAAAAAAGTTATAGAAAATTAAGTTAAATAACAAATTAAGCTACATTTTCTTATTGCGGTCGCCCTTTGGCAGGGATGTCAACCCCTCCGAGTTTATTTCTCATAAAAAACCGTCTGCCATCTTAGTATGAACTGTAGGTCTCTCTTTTTGTTGGAAAAAACATCAAGACGCAAAATGAAGGAGGAGCTCGGCCAAAAATTCCTCAGCGGCTACAAAGCTCCTATTATATATATAGACTTATAGACGTACCTCCTGCCTCGATCTATTTAGTAGATCATTTATTCTGGTCATAACATACTTATGTACGTGG